TGAGAACAGTGATTATAGACTATATTGGTGACACTCGACATTGCTTTTAGTAGTTTGAACATTGTGATGTGTGATCATGAGGCCAGCAGACACCCACAGTGGAAATCATTCATCAGGTTCTTTTCTATGTGTCAATAAACCTTCAAACCTAGTGATAAAGATTCCTCACGGGAACAGAGCAAACAGATGTTTAGATGCATCCCAGCAGTAAGACCTAACAGCAGCCTGATGAGTTCTAATGTATGTTGTCCCCGTAGGAGTGCACCAATCCCTGCTGCAACGCCACCACCTGCACCCTGAAAGAGGGTTCACAATGTGCTGAAGGCGAGTGCTGTGAGAACTGTAAGGTGAGTCAGTAAGAAGACAGATCAGTGTAACTAACTGGTGTCCCTTATTTTCATCCCTGGAAGTCTCTCCTCTGGCTGTAGTGATCCAGTTGTTTGCTCAGCTACAGTCCTCAAGTAATTAGAGAATCTTGCAAATGTTTGAACCAACACCACAGTATGGCATTTTGATCTTTTGTTTACAGTGCTCACGCAGTCAGAGTGTTTGACATAGCGCTGGAATTTGTAATCATATAACACTTTAAGAAAAACAATGTTTCAGATAACTTACACGTTGATGAAATATGCTCGGCACAGATCTTGCCTACCGCCAGACAGTGCCGCGCAAAGCAGGATGACTGTGATCTGGCAGAGTACTGTGATGGGATGAGCACGACCTGTCCGGAGGATGTGTTTGCTGTGAATGGGCTCCCATGTGATGGAGGCCAAGGGTACTGCTACAACGGTCAGTGTCCACAGAGACCTAAGCAGTGTGTCAAGATGTATGGATCAGGTGAGTATCCTGCCAATACGCATATGGATGTATGTGAAAGTCATATGGATAGTTAGGTTTTTATGCAATCTCCTGCTGCTATCAGATGCTAAAGAGGCCAAACAAGGATGCTATAACCACAACACCAGAGGAGTCTTCTATGGCTTCTGCAAACGCCCCTCAAAAGATCAGTTCATCCCCTGTCAGAAAGCGTGAGTCCCAGTAGAACGTACAGGGCAACAGTTGCTCTGCAGCCGGCCCTTATTTTGATTCTTCATTCTTCATATCAACCAAACATGATGAGAAATAAACACTGTTTTTCTTTTGCAGAGATGTTCTTTGTGGAAAGCTCTTCTGTGAAGGCGGTAATGACAACCCAAACTATGGCCAGATGGTCGCCATCGGCACATGCAAGGCAGCGTTCTTCTCAGACATCACCGGTGACGAAGTCCAGGTGGAAACGGGGACTAAATGTGGAGATGGAAAGGTAGCAGACTTCCTGAATCCACTTTTTGCTTACTGCATCTACAGTGTAGAACAAAATAAAGTTAAATATATGTCTGACTTGTCTTTTCCAAGGTGTGCAGCCAGAATCAGTGTGTGGATCTGCAGACGGCATACAGAAACACCAACTGTTCAGCAAAATGCCCAGGCCATGCTGTGAGTACATGATGACACCAAAAACTCATCCATTGAGGTGGAACTGATTTATAACAGTTTTGTGCTGGACTGTATATTCTGGTATTTTCATTATTAGTTCATCTGTTTTCAAAAAGTTATTAAGAGGAGAAGCTGCGTACCCTCATAGTTGTGAACAAAGTTCTAAAGCTTTTAAAGACTTTAATGCCGCTAAGAGTGAAATTTAAGATCAACTTTACAAAATCAAAGGGTTAAAGGTAGTTTTTGTGAGATTTCTCACTGCAAAGTTTAACTAAATCCTTTGCTAGTGAGGGGCAGCTAATCCAACATATCCATGTTTAAAATGTAGCTTATGTGTGAAAGGTGAATGGAGTCACTGTCATAGCCTGCACTGAGTTTTGGACTTAACGTATTATAACTTCAAGCTTAATGGGGTCATATTGGTCATGTCATGTTTGCATTTTGGAGCCAAAAGTAAAGTTGTAAGCTAACACTAGCATTTTGGTAAATGACCTGGATCCATGAGAGGTCTCACTCACTGACTCAAACTAATGGAAGTTTGGCCTAGCAGACAGATTCTGAGGTTAACTTTGTTTTCAAG